GATCTCATAGACTTTGTCCAGTCCGTGCTCTTCAGGCCCATGTCCACCACACTCGCCAGTGGCGTAAGTCAGAGCAACTGCTGCTACTAAGCAGACCATGTCACATTGGGTCAGGGATGCTATTGCTCTTGCCTATGAGGCGCCCGGCTAAGCTTCGCCAACAGGTCTAAGGGCTCACTCCACCAGAGGGGTCGCCTCCTCTGCTGTATTGGCAAGGGGTTCCCCCTTACAGCATGTTTGTGATGCGGCAGGCTGGTCCCATTTGTACACATACATAAGGTTTTATAGTTTATTTAGATATTCATGCCACTCCAGTTTCTCACGTCCTTGAGTCGACATTACAAGCTAATGTCTAGGGCTTTCTTGCGTTCTTGTGAGCACACCTACACAGCAGTATGGAGTCCAGAGACCTTCAAGCACGGCGGCGTGGGTATTCTCGTTCCCAATGCGCTAAGCAGCGTAGCATCGATTGTAGCTTTTGAAATGGAACGTTCCGGGTTACTTGACTGTAACCCTGTTCCCTGAAAAAGTGGAACGAGATGCTGCGCTACTTTGCCGTGCTGATGATGTCCCAGGACTGCTCTTCAGACAAAATATTCTGACAATGCACCCGCGGCTTATCTATTTATACCCTTGCGTCGCGGGTGCGCCGATGATGTCACCAACCGAGGCTATATTATTTCCGGTCGATTCCATTGACGTGTTTACACACTATATTCACAGCAGTAGAACCCGACCGATAAAGGACTTTGAAGGCCGATACTGATACAAATATTTGTTGGTTTTAAAATCCGATATTCCGATATATCGGCCGATATATAAATTTTTTTTTCAGAAACACGCAATAAAACATTAACAGATTTCAAACAATCTATGTCTTGTGACCAATTCACCACGACTCTGGCTGGATCAGCAGGTTGCAGGATGCGTGGCACGTTATACAAGAGTGTTGCCAACAAGGACGGTGTAGAGTGCCTTCTGGTGGACAAACTATAGAACTGCAACACTCTTGACATGGTTGAAGCGTGTTTCGTTCGTTTTTATTTTATTTTTGAAATATTCATTTATCGGCCATTATAACTGCCGATACCGATAGTTTGGAAATCAGCCGATAATATCGGCCTTAAGATAAATCGGTCTGGCTCTACACAGCAGGTCACAATTAAAGACGTTCCCAATGCGCTAAGCAGCACAGCATCTTCTTCCGCTTTTTCAGGGAACAGGGTTACAGTCAAGTAACCCGGAACATAATCCTAGACAATCCCTTATATATTTTTTGTGTCGTTTTTTTTATTTAGTTTTTACACACCAGTTAAGTAAAAACAGAAAGCAAAGTGAGAACATAACAAAGTTAAATATATGTGTTTTAAACACATTTCAATACATAACTTATTGCAGCAGTATACAAGCGTACAAAAAGGTATTTTTGATATTTCCTTTAACCTATTATGTCCCAGAAAACTTTTTGTAGTATTTTAAAGATGTAAAAATGTAATCTTTTGTTGTGTTTGAGGGTAGGATTTTATTATTGGTGAGTCTTTTCAAAGAGGAAGTCAGAACCAGTGACGAGTTACCAGTGACGAGTAAGCAAGATGGATGAAGTGTACATTGATTATTAACTCCTGACAGAAACCACAAATTGATGACGAGGATTAGGCATTTTTCCACTATCGTTGTTCATTAAGTTGGTGGTTGCTAACGGGCCTTCCCAAGTAAGCCTGCTATGCCGTTAGGCACATGGCTGCTGATCATTGAAATTTATCCATTATTTAAAGCAGCATTATGTTACTTTTGAAATTTTGCTATCAGGGTCCCCCTACAGTTGGGAAACAGTATTGTCTTCTACTACTGTCGTAAAATCTGTCATGGTTACACTAGGGAAGACATGTGTGCATTTGTTGACCAGCGATACCCCCGAACTCTGCAGAAGGAAGGAGTTCTCACATCTTGGGCAGACTCCAGTGTTGCGTGTGAAATGTCTTCATCCCAGGTACATTGGCATATATTTCAGCATGTCTTATGAATATAGTGTCATGGGCTTTATTTTTTCCCTCTTCAAGCTACCATAGATGAATCTGCAAATTTGAAAAATCGATTTGCATTACAGCCGATTTGCATTGACCGATTATTTTGTCCATCTAATCATGTATTATTTACTTGCAAGAATGAAGCCCCTACCAAACTCAGTAATCAGTATACTTTCACGTCTCGAGCTGACGCGAACTGCCAGCCCCGGCTCTACGGGGATGCTTAAGTGTGTTAAGCGCCCTCAAAAGAAAGCAATGCAGTCTACATTGGATGGGGCGAAGCTACATAACACATTACCAACAGTAAACTAATCGCGCACGCATTTGCTAGCCGGGGGTAGATTGATGCACCGGACCGAGGTCGGGGTACTTAATGTTTTTGTGGAGTAGTATTACGAATTAATGTTTTTAAAATGGTATTAGTATAAGTCGTTCGCTCATTTTGGCGTACCCATCTTGCTACAGGCTGTAGCGAGGACTTCTTGGATCGGTCGGGCACCCCTCCTCCTCCTTTTGGCTCACGCCAGCGAGCTAACGCTGGACCAATATTGATCCTCGTCCAGCCTTTTATTTTGCCACTCTCCCTTTTTCTCTTTCTACTGTCCTCCAAACCTTTGGCTTCGGGGTGTGCATGAGGGGACTCTCTCTCTAACAAGATCATTGAGTCTCAACCGTAATGACGCAATGGTCACGTTCCCGTGGGGAGAACGCGAGTCATCCACAAACGCTGCTCTAGCGTGATCAAGCCCAAGCACACAGGGCAGAAATGAGTCGACCGCAACCAGAAATGCTTTAAAAGACATGCCGCATGCGAGCTCTTTTGTGAGAGGAGAAAAAAACTCCGCAATGTTGAAGCGAGCATGGAGAAACACACTCACTGGCAGATCACTGCACAGATCAGCAGGCAATGTGAACTCGCTGCAGATCGCCGTCACACCAACACCAGAGAGAGTGGATCTTCTCGTAGAGCGAAGTCATAAGCTACTCTAAAGGCGAAGTCATAAGCTACTCTAAACACTGTGCGATGTCTGTGCGATTTCAGCAAGGTACCTACTCACAGTCAAAGAGTAAATCGCATGCGATACAAAGCCAAAGTTCAGGATTTATGTGCTCACACTGCACGGTCCGATCATCGAGCTGCAGATGAAATGGTTAAACTTATGTTTTCGCGCAGGCGCAGTGAGGGAAAAAACATTGAGTTTAGGGCAATCGGTTCGTAGCTTTGCTTCAACTGTGCGATTTCCAAAATTTCTGTTCTGTTTTACATTCATTTTGATATCTTTACTTCAAGTACTGATACACATATGTACAAAACTCTGGTTATGACCAAAATGTCTGACATGCCAGAAATTCATCTGACCGATTGTCGATCGTGAGAGGTTAATAACCTCTCGTTTCTCCCTGTACACTCCACGAACACTGCACAAACGACGCATGACAAAGCTGAAAATCAGTCCAACACGAAAAAGAGTCGCACGAGTCAGAATTCGGTTCAAAATCGGATGAAAATCGCACAGTGTATGCCCGCCTTTAGCTCTGAAGCGAAAACATATCTGCATGTTGCCGGCATCCTCCTTTATACCCACGAGGTAAGGCGGAGATACGCTATGCAAATTCCGCAGACCCATGGCATTTCTTTCCCATTGTCTTGTTTTGTATACTCGAAGTCGATAGGCTTTCTAAGCGAAACCCCATTCACTATCATCCGACGGAACTCGAAGTGACAACGAAAGGGAACAGAAATACACACCAAGATTACATTTGCTACATCAGAAGTAACTAATAATCTAATAAACTAATAAAAGTATAATGATTATCCATTTCTTTACTTTTTCAAGGAAAATAATTAAATTACTGTAACTAGTTAGCGAGAAGAGAATTTGATTACCAATGAATATTTGAGAGACTTTGACTAGAAACTGACTGGACAGAGCTTACGATAGTGTAAGATTGAAAATAATCAAAGATACTTTAAGCTCCTCTTTCTTACCCCAAGGGCCATCAAGAATTCCTGAAGACAAAGGGGTGATATGGCTGGAGACCTGTAGGCCAAGATATCAATGCGTCTCAATGTCCATACTAACCATCCTGAACAGTGTGTGAGATTAAAATAAGTGTGTCCCAAAGCATAGTATGTTGAAAAGAGTATGCCAGAAGTCCCCGGATGATCTACTATTTCCGGTGGATTTTTGAAGTGTGGATCCGTGCTCACTATAAAGGCTAATATTGAACACAACCTTGTAAGAGGAACTACAAACAAAAAGTGTAAAAAATAAATAAAAAACATGCCGGATTTGCAAGACGACCGGTGAAAGGTTTGGATAAAGGTTCGAGTGACTTGTCAAAGTTTAACCTGATAAAAAATGTTTTCTGTTATATTTATGTTATCTGCAATAACAATGTGGACATTTATAAAGATCAGTTTGGCCATTAACTTTTAAAGGCATCATTAATACTGCATTAATATGAGGAGAGTTGAAACAACACATCAACGCTTCTGCATTTCTCTCCGATACGGCAGGGAAATGAAATTAAATGAAATTAAATGTTGAAGATTTTAACTGTGACAAGATGATTAACCGGTCAGTTTACTGTCACAGAATGCGGCACAGAGCAATAGTTAAAGATGCAATTGTTTGACGTGATAGTATGTACTACACACTCAAAAGTATCTCTTTTTTTCTTTACAAAAAGAGTTAATAGTTTTAGGGTGTAGGCGAATTTAGACGCAGCACTGGTGTCTTCTAATTGTCACACCTTTAGTCCGATGGGGGAAGTTGTAATTATCTGAGCTATCTAGTCAATTTCAACGCGTCACATTTGGGTTTCGGTCACATGGTCAAGGAATCAAAGAAGAAGAAGGAATTAAAACGCATTTCAAAAAGTAGCTTATAATAATAGACTTATAATAGACTAATATTTTTAAGAAACACCCATGTTCCACATTTCTTTCATCATCAGCAGACTGACATATTGAACTAGGAAACACCGTGATGTATTTTTTTACCTAAACCAGTTCATGAATTGACTTATTTTAAAATGACCTTCTCACAGATCCATTTAAAAGCATCATTACATGGATGATCAGCAAATACTGTATCATAATTTACAGCACAATCTTCATCAATTCCATTTTGACTATTTGGCTCTCCAGACGCCCAGAACCTGCAATTAAAGATCAGCCTGTGTGATATAATACTGACTGTGAGAATAATTTATTAGACAATAATCAGTTTAATTCATTGATTTCTCACCCAGAGTTCAGTCTGCTTCCATCAACCCATTTCCACGTGCCCTCCACATCACTGTCAGTCACACCAATCCAGACTTTATCATTAGGATATTTTTTCTGAACAAACCCCTGAGAAAATTAAACAGCAACACATTTAGATCATAAAGAGAATTAACAATTTTCTTCCTATAAATAGTTATTCAGTCATAAAATGACTCCGCTTTTAAACGGTCACTTTGTATCGCATCTATAAGCAGTGGGGAAACTTCTTTTCCTCGATTTCCTGAGGCCTATAATGTAAAATGCATTTGCAGCTGCACAGTGATCGTCTGGCTCACTCATTGACTGTGCTGCGGCAAATGCACATCCTATTATAGGCTTTAGTCTATGATAACCATAATAGCAGATTTCACTCCTTCAGCGACTACATCACGTCTCTGATCTTGCGAGAGATCAGCGGCCCCACACACACGTGGCGGGCCTTGACTCCTTTGGCGGGTCCATCGAGGGAGCCGCCTCTCCATAGTTGCCGTAGCACAACCAGTGAGTGAGACAGACGATCACTGTGCAGCTGCTAAATGAGTTTTACATTATAGGCTTCAGTAAATCGAGTAAAAGGAGTTTTAACGCTGCGTAAAGCAGTGATAGTATTTGGATAGTAACCGATTAGTTTACTCACTTGTTCTTCTCTGTTGTTTATGATGATCAGATCGGCTCCTCTCTCTGTACAGTATCTTCTGCTCTCAGTCCAGCTCCTCTTCTCAGTGGAAAGGAAGTAAAGACTGGATTTATGGTATAACCATCCATCTGTAAACACAACCAGTTTAGGTTTAATCACTTTATTCCCATCACACTGACCTACAAACTTCATTTTAACCGGTTTCACCTAAATAATTAGTAATGTATCCTGTGAAAATGAAACAACCAAGTTTAGTTTTTATGTTTACCCTTTACACGAAGAGATTCTGACAGGTCATTTTTCTCCTTTTTTAACTGGTTTCTGTCTCTAATCAGGTCACGGTTACTTGATGATAATCCATCTCTCTCTTTTGTCAATTGCATGTTCCTGGTAAGTAGCTCATCTCTCTCTTCTGTGAGTTTGTTGATCTTGGTTTGTTGCTTGTGTGTCTCTTCTGTGAGGTTGTTGATCTTGGTTTGTTGCTTGTGTGTCTCTTCTGTGAGGTTGTTGATCTTGGTTTCTTGCTTGTGTGTCTCTTCTGTGAGGTTGTTGATCTTGGTTAGTAGCTGGTGTGTCTCTTCTGTGAGGTTGTTGATCTTGGTTAGTAGCTGGTGTGTCTCTTCAGTGTAGTTAGTGCTCTTTGTCTTGATGTGGACACACAGCACTATGACCGCAGTCAGCAGAAACACACACAGCAGAACCACACACACGAGAGCAGCTCTGGGGCTTCTGTTCCTCACAATACCACTTCCTGACAGAGGTGGAAAGTAACTAATTACAAATACTTTCATTACAGTACTTACTTAGATTTTTCATTTTTTCTACTTTCTTGAGTATAATTAAAATGTGGTACTTTTACTCTTACTTGAGTAGAATAAAAATAAAGTATTCAACTTCGCTAATTTGTTTTTCACCAAAAGTACAAAGTACTATGGAAGCACTTTGACAAAGGTGCCGACGAAGCAACAGGGCAAGCTGACATTTGACAGACACTTTCCAAAATTACTGCGGTGGAGCCCTGCGCTTCAGCCTATACACAAATCCGCCGCAAACTCTATGGGCGCAACATCTAGCCATGCAAGAAAACATTAAATATTACCCAGGTAATAAAATGCTGATGTGATTTGCTGCCCAAGAAACATTTCTGATTATTATTAATGTTTTCTTTTTAAAAAGTCAGGATTCCTTGATGAATAGAAGATTCAAAGTAGATTAATCCAAAATAAAAAAATCTTTGTAACATTATAAATGTTTGCGTTCACTTTTTGATTACTTTAATGCGTCCTTTCTGAATAAAAGTAGTATATTACTTTCTTTAATTTTTTTCAAATGTAGCGTTTGTTACAAAAGCTTTTTATTTCAGAAAAATGCTATTATTTTGAAGTATGATTGATTTGTGTAATGTGACTTTTTTGTATGATCTTAAAATCCGATTTACAATTAAATTGTACATAAATAGGTTAAGCAAAACCAATGTTTAAACTTTTGTGTTTAAAAAAAGAAAATATTAAACGCATACTAACCTGAAATGACATATACTGTTTGATACAGTACGGATATTTTGAGTGTCTCTTATTTTCCTGTAAAGAACAACACTTTTCCCACATTTTTCTCTGAAGTTGGCTATTCACAAGTTGCAGATAACTATTAGCCACGACCAGTTGCAGCAATAAATAAACTCGTACCATAATGTGTCAGTAACAATACAGAGAAAATTGTTAAAACAGCCAAGCACACAACACGCTCTTCCCGGCATCACTGGACATATGCACAAAAAAAAAAAATAAAAAACAGTAATAGCGCAGCGCTGCTTTAGCGGCGCTGCTTTACTTCCGCGTTTCGCCGGATTTGTGTATAACAGACAGAGCTGAAGCACTTCAGCCAATAACGGACAGGTCTGACTTGCAAAACCAATCAAAACTTTCAGTTCGGCTGGGGCGGCGGGGTTTTCAAACCGCACGTTGTCGTTCAATCACTGGCGCTCATGTTTTGAATCAGTATCGGTTCCAGTGAATGTAAGTGAGCTATGCTAATATTCTGATTTTAAATTTGAATTATTAGCAACACCTGAAATACATAATCCCATTGATAATGCCAGAGCACTGAGCAGTTAAAGTAAATAAAAAACTCGGCTCATAACATGGATGCAGTTATTGCACTGATGGAGAAAGAACGATGTAAGTGTCTAAAACGCATGCACAGGTCAATTAAATGGTAGAGCTTTCCCTCTTTACATTACAATTAAACTACAGTAAATGTATTAAGCAAATATAAGCAAATGTTGTACAAAGCTGAAAAAAACTCAACAACAGTGAAATAAGATTTCGTTTCGAAACGAAATAACGTTTTGGCGCTTTTAAATGTGACAGATCGCAGGAGCGCGTCAGTTCAAACGGCGCGTGATACAGTTGCCTAGGCTACAACACCCACAGGGCACGAGCAAAATACTGTATCTGGTAATCTCCCGCTTTATATTAAACAAACTGTCAACACTGGCTTTTGCGATGCACAGAGAGACGCTGCGCTGCCTATGACTTTGAACGTGAGTTGAGAGTGTACATTTGCACTACGTCCCTGTGTTTTTAGCAAAAAAGATACCTCTAACTTAATATCTGCAGTGGCGTAGGGCGAGAGCGTGAGGTGCTTGAAAGCAATTTTTGACGCGTTCGACCAGAGTTCGAATCCCTTTTCGAGTGCCTTTTGCAGAACTCCCTCTTCTCCCTTTTCCCAACACCGAAACCGTGATATGACATTGTGCCTTTATAATACAGCACAAGACTGTAATTAAGTAGCCATTCAGTTTCTGCTGTGTGATTTAAAGAAAAGTGCGCATGGGGCAAAGTTTGCTCTTCTCCCGGTTGACCCGAAGGCCCAGACGGGCTAGGTGCTGGAGCACCAGGTCTCTGTGTTCGCAAACCTGTTCTCGAGAGTGTGCTAGGATCAGCCAATCGTCGAGATAGTTCAGGATGCGAACCCCGTGTTCGCGAAGGGGACAAGGGCTGCCTCTTCGTAAAGACGCGAGGGGACAGAGCTAACCCGAATGGGAGAACCGCGTACTGATATGCCTGGCCCTCGAAAGCAAACCGAAGAAACGGTCTGTGTCGAGGCAAAATGGACACATGAAAGTACGCGTCCTTCAGGTCGATCGCTGCAAACCAATCCTGAGGCCGGACGCATTCGAAAATGCGTTTGGCTGTGAGCATTTTGAACGGCAATCGATGAAGAGTATGGTTCAAAATGCGCAGATCCAGGATCGGTCGTAACCCACCGGTCTTCTTGGGGACAATGAAGTAGGGGCTGTAAAACCCTGACCTCATCTCGGCTGGTGGGACCATCTCGATTGCACCCTTCGCCAGCAGGGTCGCAATTTCCGCTCTCATGACCGGGGCATTGCCACCGATCACTGTGAAGCGAACTCCCCTGAAACGGGGAGGAGACCTCGCGAACTGAATCGCGTAGCCGAATCTGATCGTTCTGATGACGCAGCGGGACAGGTCGAGGAGCTCTAGCCAGGCTCCCAGGAACTGAACCAGCGGGGTCATGCGAACCACAGACATCCCCCCGGAGGGGCAGCGAGGCGGTGAGACCGGCATGCGCACAGGAGTTACCCCGTGCGGGTGCACAGTCGAGCCCCGTTCCCCGACAGAAGAGACCAGGGAAGGACCAGCGTTCCACGGGGGTCTGTTCTGCCGGGGGTCTGGTGATAGAGGGGGAGGGGAGTGGTGTAGTCGAGGGACGACACATGCTCCCTTCCTCACCCTCAGAGACCGAGAGGAATGAGTGAGGCGACGCGCTGTGACCTCGCGTACACTCACTCCTGTCTGTGTGCTCAGTGATGATGTCAAGTCTCTCTTTAACCAACTCAGGGTGCTGCCCACCCGTGGGTGAGAAGCGGGGAGCTGAGAACAAAAGATTCTCCCCCGGCCCTCCACCGGGGGAAGGAGGGGGCCTGCTACCGCCTCCTGGGAAACACTCGACTTCATCACTGAGCAGCCCGTCTCAGGAACGCCGCTTCGCCTGGCGTTTAGTCCCGGATGAAGGCTGCTGCTGGGGCCACGTGGGAGGGAGGGGAGCCGCAGGGGGGCGTCCTCGGCGTCTGAGCCGACGGCTGGGTGGAGGCAGCAGCTGGCCGTCAGGGCAGAATATGTTTAATCGCCTCCGTCTGCTTCTGGGCAGTCGAGAACTGCTGGGCAAAGTCCTCAACTGCACCGCCGAAAAGGCCAACCTGGGAGAGGGGGGCATCTAGCAGACGAGTCCGCTCGGCGTTCCGCGTGTCTGCCAGGTTGAGCCATAGGTGACGCTCCTGGACCACGCTAGTGGCCATCACCTGACCAAGGGAGCGAGCGGCCACTTTCGTCGCCCGGAGAGCGAGATCGGTGGCAGCTCGCAGCTCGTTAAAAGCCGCTTGGTCAGTCCCCCCCTCGTGCATATCTCTGAGCAGTTTGGCTTGAAAAACTTGCAAAGTGATCATTGCATGCAGGGCGGAAGCTGCTTGTCCCGCCGCTCTATAGGAACGCGCCGCCATAGACTACGAGAACCTACAGGCTTTGGATGGGTGCTTAGGAGTACCGCGGGAGGACGCACTCTGCGGACACAGTTGCATCGCAACAGAGCGCTCCACCGGGGGAATCCCAGCGTACCCACGGGCAACCGCGCCGTCGAGGGGAGGAAAGGCGGGGGAGGCTGGAGCGCGCTCTCGGGAGGTCAAAGGAGCCTTCCAGGTGCGCGTCAGCTCCGCATGCAGCTCAGGGAAAAAAGGTATTGGGGTTGGCTGTGGCCTTGCGGCGGCAGCCTTACCCAAAAACCAATTATCCATCCGTGAGAGATCGGGGCAGGGCGGAGGGTTCCACTCTAACCCGATGCTCACGGCGGCCCGAGATAGCATGGCCGTCATCTCGGGATCAGACACGGGCAACGCTGGCACTCCCGAAGGAGGCAACGCAGCCGCATCCTCACTTCCCGAGGAGTCAAGCCCGCAGCATCATCCTCTGGAGCGCCGAACGAAACAGACGGTACCTGCGAAGAGGCAGACGCCTGAAGCGATTCGGCGCTCGCTGGCTCTAACACTGGGACGGTGGGTGTGGCCTGAGGAGCTAGCGTCGGGGGTTTGTTCCACACAGTCACCGATAAATCACCTTGTCCGAGTTATCTCAGTGAAACTGGCTTTAGGAGTGAAGAAGTCTCTTGGCTCCGAAGCGAAAACATACTGCGGTTGCGTTCACTTCCTCCTTTTATACCCACGGGGTGGGGCGGAGTTACGCTATGCAAATTTCCGCAGCCCCAAGGCATTTCATGCCATTGGCTCGTTTTTAAATACTCGAAGATGATTGGCTTTCTATGCGAAATCCCCATTCTCCGTCATTCCAGCGTAACTCGGAGTGACTACGAAAGGGAACCAAACTTATTTAACTAATGTTAACCCGTACCCCACTTAATTTTTTTGTTTGTTTATTTGTTTGTTTTTTACTGACACATTTTTTATACATAGGCTACTGTTGTAAATTTTATGAGTACTCTCACTTAACGTTCTTTGCTTTCAATTTTAAAATGATTCAAATGAAATGATTCAAATTATCTTTCATGGACTTACTTTTCAAAATCACAATACATGTCAGTCGTGTTTGAAATTGGTTTCATGTTGCTTCTTAACACAGATTGATAATATATTTTTTTATTAAATTATATGAAACAAGCTATGTTGCTTCGCATTGCATTAAAGGGTGTAGTGCTCCATATCGCTATCATCTTCCCATTTTGGGTAATAATAGAGAAATAATACTAAAGTACTTTGTAACGTAGTTACTTGAGTAGTTTTTAAGCAAACTACTTATTTACTCTTACTTGAGTCATATTATTTTTCAGTACTACTACTTGTACTCAAGTCAATTATTACTTAAGTAGCAATACTTTTACTTAAGTACAATTTGTTAGTACTCTTTCCACCACTGCCTGAACACCACAGATATGAAGATTGTTGCCAATTGCTTGTATGACTCAAATTTGTGATGAATGAAATGAATCTCAGTACCTGTGTGTTGAGGTGTTTGGGAGTTCTCAGTTTCTGTCCTGACATCAGAATCGTTTATAGGATCCACATTAGCATAGATAGTCATCTCTTCTTCATCTTCTCTGTCCATGTCATCTTTCCTGGGAATGTTCATATTGCCATAAGACATATTCAGTCTGCTGGAGTTAGAAGTGAGATTATTAGAAGTTGTTAGAAGTTGTTTCTTCGAGTGGTTTGCATTGCTCTGAACTTCTGCTTTTGCTTCTCACAGATACAACCACTTTGGTCAAGATCATGTGATATCCAATTGGGGGGCTAAAAAAACTCTTTACTGACTATAGACAAAAGTTTTTTGTTTTCTTTTCTTAGTAAAAAGAATTTTTACTTGTGCATTAATGTCCTGTGTTTAGATGCATGTACATGACATTTTCCATTTACTCAATTAACATGGACAAAGCCTGTAACTTCATACTGAAGTTAATACTGTAGATCTACATGGCAACTAAAACTCATTTCACCATATAATTAGAGATCAACTGAAATAATTTGGATCTTGACTGTTTTACGTTAATTTTAATATCTTTACTTCAAGTACTGATACACATATGTACAAAATTCTGTTTGTGGGTGTGAGTTTTAAAGACGTGTGGTGTTTTTAAGTGAGGAAACGGATGTAACACAAGTGTCAGATGATACCCTACTTACACAAACATGCAAATTCACACACTCGCTATTAGGAAAGTAAGTAAGTAATTAAAGGGTTAGTTCACCCAAAAATGAAAATTAAGTCATTAATTACTCACCCCCATGCTGTACCAACCCCGTAAGACCTTCGTTCATCTTCGGAACACAAATGAAGATATTTTTGATTAAATTTGAGAGCTGTGAAACTACCACATAGGCTGCCTAAGGGACTGGCTCTTGACGGCCCAGAAAGTCAATGAAGAAAATGTTTAAATATTCCATGTGATTACAGTGGCTCAACTATAAGTTTATCAAGCGACGAGAATACTTTTTGTGCGAAAAAACAAAGAAAAATAACGACTTTATTCGACTATTCCTTTTCTTCCTTGTTGGCCTTGTGGGCCTATCTCTGTCTATCCCTAAGGTAACATTTTACATATATGCTGGGTACAAGTAATGGTATAAGTTTTTATCATCTCATACATCTATTTTAAGTGTATAACCATATTGTCAATCCTTTCAATAGCAAATGATGTGCTACTGTAACTAGTTTTGATTTGGTATTGACTTTGAAGTGCTACTAATTGCAATAAAATATTGTCACTCGATAACAACACTCTCACACATATGAAGCTATTGTAACTGCGCTTATTTCCATCGTTGGTATGAGTAGCAGTGGGTGGTAGACAAGAAATGTACAGTTTTCTACCACCTTGCTGAAACCATTTCTTTAGTCATTCGGCAGTCCTGCAGCCTGAACCCTTGGGGGAAAACCACCCTTACAATAGCTATCCCAAATCCCAAAAATCCCACATTTGTCCCTTGGCCTCTGTCCATCATGGCCTCCTAATCATCCCCATGAACTGGGGGGTGTGTGTGTGTGTGTGTGTGTGTGTGTGTGTGGTGGGCGTTCTGGCGCACTATGGCTGCTGTCGCATCATCCAGGTTGTGCTGCACATTGATGGTGGTTGAGGAGATCCCCCCTTCCATGTAAAGTGCTTTGAATACCCAGAAAAGCGCTATTTAAATGTAACAAATTATTATTATTATATTATCAGGCTAAATCCATTTTAAATACATCCCATCCAAAGTCTTCATCTCATGAGAGATCTTTTGCTTTGGTAAACAGGTAAATTTTCAATTAGAACTTTTTAGGGGTGAAATTGTTCATCTGAGAGAAGTTATGAAACTGAGGGGAGGTTAAATTAATGGAAAAAAAAACCTAAATCAAAAAAATTTGTATACAATAAAATAAGAAAATGTTTGTTTACTGTATTTCACTTAGTTGAAAAATATGTAATAACATTTACGATGTTTGTTCATATTTACATATTTTTTAAAAATCAATACTGTAAAGACTGGGGTAGTTGTTGTAGCCCTCGATCGGGTCATGGGGTCTATACGACCCCAATCGACTTTTACTTAATAAAAAAAAGGTTCCCTTCATCTCAGTGGAATAAAATTTTGTGACTTTTCATACATTATCTATCTATATACACACACAAAAAAACTGGGCTTGATTCGGTTGTTCTGAAGGTATGTAAAAAAAATGTTTACACTTCTGGTCTTCGGGGTCAATATGACCCCACATTGAAAGGCAATGTGAAAAAAACAAAAAACGAAATACATTTTCTTCATTCATTTTGTCAAAAAAAAATTAAATAAAAAAAATCCAGCATAAATCTGACCATTTTTACAAAGAAATGAAGGCCTAGTACTAGAGCATAAATGCAAAAAATGTATCATAGATACATAAATGTATCATAGAAAAACAATATTTCATATGCAAGCTAATGGTGTAGTTGAGGAATTGTGTGGTATATGGATACAAAAGTACTTTATACAATGAATAGATGAGAAGTAAAAAAAAATATATATATATATTTTTTGTACAATTACTCAATCAATTGTTGGGGTCGTATATACCCCGAAGCCCGGAAGTGTAAACAGGAAACGAAGACCATTTGAAGGTTAATCTGACTTCATATAACAAATAGAATTAATAAAAAAAAAAACATTAAGAAATGCCCATGTTCCACATTTTTTTCGTCCTCAGTTGAATGGACTGACATACTGAACTACCCAGACAGCAAACTGACATTGAATCAACGTGGAAACGACGTCTCTCATGACATTGAAACAACGTTGATTTTGCTCATCGAATTAACGTTGAACCAACGTCAGACGCGGCATTCTTCAAAGCTAAATGAAAATCGAAAATTGGTTTGCTTTCATAACGTTGAAACAACGCGTTGATTTCAAGTTGATTTTCCGTTAGTTTTGAAAGAATGACGCGTCTGACGTTGGTTCAACGTTAATTCGATGAGCAAAACAATGTCAGATCAACGTTGTTTCTATGTCATATTTCCACGTTGATTCAATGTCAGTTTGCTATCTGGGTAGGAAACACCGTGATGTATTTTTTTACCTAAACCAGTTCATGAATTGACTTATTTTAAAATGACCTCCTCACAGATCCACTGAAAAGCATCATTACATGGATAATCAGCAAATACTGTATCATAATTTACAGCACAATCTTCATCAATTCCATTTTGACTATTTGGCTCTCCAGACGCCCAGAACCTGCAATGAAAGATCAGCCTGTGTGATATGATACTGACTGTGAGAATGATTTATTAGACAATAATCAGTTTAATTCATTGATTTCTCACCCAGAGTTCAGTGCGCTTCCATCAACCCATTTCCACGTGCCCTCCACATCACTGTCAGTCACACCAATCCAGACTATATCATTAGGATATTTTTTCTGAACAAACCCCTGAGAAAATTAAACAGCAACACATTTAGATCATAAAGAGAATTAACAATTTACGTCCTATAAGTTGTCATCTAGTCATAAAATGGTAAAGGGACTGCATTTATATAGCGCTTTCACAGACCCAATGGCCACCAAAGCGCTTTACAATTTGCCTCACATTCACTCATTCATACACCGACGGCGGTGTCAGCCATACAAGGCGCCATCCAGCTCATCGGGAGCAGCTGGGGTTAGGTGTCTTGCTCACGGACACCTCGACACTTGGTCAGGTGGAACCGGGGATTGAACCACCAACCTTTCGATTTGTAGACAACCTACATGAACCCAGGGCCGGACTGGGACCAAAATTCGGCCCTGGCATTTGTGGTTTTCACCGGCCCAATTGATGACGTTAAAAAAAGTCCCCAGAATCTGAACATTTTTCCCACTGAGACACACCATACAAGACAGCAATGACTTTCAAACTGTAGGAATACACGTCATGATATAAGACTGAGGCCAATAGACTTCCATACATATTGACAGCTAGGGTCCGAAATTAACACCCGCCAAGCGGCAATTGCGGGTAGATTTTCCATTTCACTCTTTGTCTTTGGAGCCACGTGAAAGTATAAACAAGGCTTTCATGGAAATCTCCCTTATTTTCAATGTTCAATGTTGACAGCTATATGGACAGTGTTGGGAAAGTTCACTTTCTACATGAACTAATTCAAAGTTCAGTTCACGGATTTTAAAATGAACTAGTTCAGTTCATAGTTCTTTTTTTCCATATGTTGCGAGCCCTTTTTAAATTATTATTGCCACAGCCCATATACAACCACAGACAACAATTATTTTATCGACGGGCAAAGTTTGCACAGAAATATAAGATTTTTCCCATCCTCACCGACCTCGTCATAAAATCCGTTTAAATATTTGACCCAGGCGAACTTACAAAAACGGGTGAAATGAGAAATGACACCGTCGGCAGTTGAAAAAACATGTGAAAGTGTGTGAAACTGTAGACGGTTGTGTAAAATAAATGGCAATACTGCCTCTCATAAATAACACGAAGACTTCACAAAACAAGTCTTACAATTAACAGCCTACACGAACACCCGTTTGATCGATCTGCAACAGAAATGCAAATTAACACATAGCCTATTTCCAAAAAGAAAGAAATATGTTCTTCAATAATATTGGCATGTTATACAATTCATCCTCATATATAAGATGGTAAACAGAACGAAATAATGTACAAAACTTATTCTCGCCAATATGTCCATCTAACGGAGCAGATATAGCAATTAGATAGTCAGGTAGATAGATAATTAGGGAGATATAGCTATAGATAGATCGATAAATAGATAGATGTATTATTTGTCCACTGGGGAAAGTTGTTTTCATAGTAAAAGATGCCTTCATCAGCTGCAGATTCATAGTATTCATGGCCTTTAGTTTGTTTTATTTTTGATAAAATAACGTATGATGTATGTCTCAACCATTCAGAAAGCTGCAAGAAATTACATTTGCGCTGAACTATTTCCAATTTAGATTATAATCGTCATCCGTAGCTTGTCAGATGCAGAATTAAATGGATGTAAATAAAATGCCCCATCACAATATAATGACGCACAATGGCTGATATTGCGCTCTTAGAAGATGTGGCGATTAAATGGAAGGATTCGGAGGGAACGCATCATCTTCACAACAAAAGGTTTGGAAAAAATATATTATTTATTCAAGAATTCCCTCATTGTGCAGTTTATTTAAGTTAGGACAGTCTTGATTTCGCCCAACTCCTTGGCCACCTCTCTAAATGAATTAATGACTAGACGCTTTTTTGCCTCGACTTTGATGTCCGACCATTTCTTTTTTATTTCGGCCACAGTCCGAGGTTGTGAGGCTACAGCATTTACGGCGTCTGCAACCTTTTGCCACTTTTGGTATTAGTAATGCCCACACTGTGCCCTCCAAACAACATTTTCTCCTTTTTTTCACCTCGCCAACGATAACTTCTACTTCATATTGAGTGAAGTTATGTTTTTTTTTTTATTCCTCTCTGTGTTTAACACGATTTCGCAATCGATGAATATTAACTTGTGGGCGTTTCACGGACTATTTATGGGCAACTGTGGGCGTGACATGAAGCCGCAAAAGCTGCGCTACATTTAGAACTGATTGTGATTTATGAAGGGAAAAATGCGTAGGATGTGCGTGCGCACGGTTTTATAAATCCGAATATTTTTGTGCGTACGCACGTCCTATGTTTCATCCCTACGCCAGTTTTTACGCAAATCCAAATCCTTTTTTGGGGTTATATGAATA